CCATTACGCCATCAATCAAGGCGGCAGCCGAACTAACTAAATGACTACCGCCTACAGGCATTTTTATTTCCAGAGAAGTTTTATCCAACATCGCGCATTGAATGTTCAGATTCATAATTGTTATCAGTGAGCAATCAAATGTTATATTAATCATAGTAATCATAATTTTGTATCGTTTCAAAAATGCTAACAATGAGCATGACAACCGCTAACGGCTTCGTGATAGATCGGCCTATCACGCGCAAATACCACACCGCTATTGGCGCTATATGCGGTAATGTGTCCGCGATGCCTTATACGCTTCTGCGCAATCTAGACCAATCAGACCAATCTACACACGCTCGACACGGTCGCCATTTTACTCCTCTATCTCGCAGTTGTTTTGATTGTTTTCATTTCCAAGTGCATAGTGAAGGTTAAACGCGTATAATTTCCTCCAACGGACGAGGTAAGCTCGCAATCAAGACCTTAAATGTTATCAACAAGTTTTTCAATGTGACCAGCTGGTTGTTTCGATTTGAACGATAGCTGTACGCAATATTCTCGCTTCCAATTACTTTCTCTTCATGTTGGCCTATATTTAATGCATGAATCCACTTCTATAACGATCAGCTAGTAACCGATATATATATATATATATATATATGCATGTCCACCAGGAGCAAATCATGTCTGACGATGAGAACGAGCTGGAGAAACTGCGGTTGGCCGCCCTTCAAACACTCAAGGCATCTGCAGATGTTAAGCACAGACTGCAGCATAAGTCTCTGCCCTACAATCATTCTCCACCTACATGGAGGAAGTTTTCTGGCCAGGGAGAGGAGCTCCACGAAATGTAAGTCTGATACATCTGAAACTTACGAAGATACTTATTTATATATGCAATCAACATAGGGCCAGTTCAATGGCAGAAAACAGTAAACACCAATCTTATTTCAATACTTACATTGGAATCTCAGGCCAATCATGATTCTGCACATCCATTAAATGATGAAAAACAAATTAGATTAAGACTAGACTTACCCCAAAACAGATATAGTAAAACTAATGAAATTGTGGACTCAGACAGTAAGAAGGAGTCGAGCAAATTCAGCAGATATGATGATAACTCTGATTCTGATTCAGAAAACTCAGAAACCTCAGACAGTGAGGATAAACTAGTGAGGTCGAGTAGTTTAGAAGCGCTCGTGCAGGAACTGGAGTATGAAATATCCGGTGAAAAGCCCGACAGAACTCCTGTCAATAGGAAACCAAGATTTAAAAATCAAAGGTGACTATTCTAGATCTAAACAGTTCCGGAAATGCCAATGACGTTCAATCAAATGAAAATACTGTCACTGACGGGACTGATGAGAAACTCGACGACGCCTTAAACCTATTTGTTGACTGTGCTGAGGATAAAATTGAGGACGAACCTCAAGCACCCGCACCGCCCGTAGAACCAAAGAAGCCAGAAGTTCAACAAGAAATGAAGCCACGTGGTAAGAATTCCCTGAAGACTGAGAATAAACCGGCGCGCAAATCATTGTTGCCCAAACCCAGAGGTTATAATCCTCGCCCTGATCATAAACTACCACCCGTAAACCCAGGTATCCCTCATCAGTATCCTCCACCCGTTTATGTTCCAATTCTTCCCTTACCATTACCCTATCCCGATTATCCACCAGTAGAACAACGTTATTATAATAAGGGCCACAATTCACATGCGCCCTTGGTTATGAGGCCCTTGTCTCCGTTGAGATTGAATCATGATTCAAGGAGCGCCCCACTATGGCTCCACTATCGCCGCGCAGCGCGGCATTTGTGCTACAAAATCGTGAAATCATTGAAAAGCGTAAAAGGTCACCGCGGCACTCCTATTCGCGGTCGCCTTCGCCTAGACTGCGCCGGTCTAAATCTCCGCGAAGACGGTCCGCATCTCCCAAGAGATCTTCTCCCCGAAGCGTAGCAAACGGAAGTCACGCTCTCCAATTGATCGCAGTCCTAAACGAGATATCAGAGATCGTTTAACTTTGAACAATAATAAGCGGGTCGAACGCGAGCGACCTTCGGAAAATTCCGACGCCCCAACGAAGAACCGGCGAGATATTCCGGCGAAACCTCAAGATAAGGTAAACAACAAGGATGAAAAGCCTGATCCAGTTCTTGAGGCGAGGCGTCGAAAATTCGAGCAACAAAACACCGTCAAGGAGGGTATCATTCGACTCAAACCTGCAGATGAAGAGCCTAATAAGAATAGGGAGAAAAATGAGGAAGAAATAGCGCACACTCCAGATCCGCATGTGGATTCCAGTGAAAATAATGAAGAAAATACTCCGGATGTGGACATGCTTGAGACGCACATTGATGATTTGTTCTCTGATGAGGAATCTGAGGATGAAAACGAAGGGCGATTCAAGTCATCGAGTCAGACCAAGGCGAATGCACCAGTGTTGAAATTTACGTCGCTGAATAAACTGACGGACATTCAGAACAAATCGCTTGAAGACGCATCCAGCCGAAATAGGCTCGACCGCAGTAGGAATCGACGAAACACAAAATTACGTCGAAATGATCGGGATAAGGAGCGATTCCGGGAGCGCGAGGTGCGCCTCACCAATAGTATACCCAATAACGTACGGAAAGAGCGTGTTGAGAAGAAAGGTGAGAAAAGGAAGTGCGGCATGATGAAGATCCCGTGCGACAAAATCGAGAAACAGATAGGAAGGAGGAGCGGAAACCTTCGATCAAAGCTCGGCTTACTATCAAGAAAAATGATAAGGACGACAAGAATGACCGCAGTGACAAGAAGAGAGAAGAAGAAAAGAAGCCGGAGCGTGAAGTCACATTGAAGGATGTGAAAGTCGCGAAGGCTAACAGCACAACCACCCAGGTGGTTACTGAGGTGAAGGTAAATCGTATCAAGGAGCGGCCTATTTCAACGAGGAAAGTGGCCATCGCCGTCGAAGTAAAGGAGAACAAGGACTACAAGCCAAAAGAGGACGTAACTGTGATAGATGACGACGATGAACAAGATGTGCTTAAGAAAACAGAAGGTAGTAGATACCGCATAATAGTAATTAATTATATAATAATTAAATTATTAATGTCTATTGATAGCCGGGGACCTACGCGCACAGCTGAGCCGTAAGCGTGCCGAACGCCAAATTCACAAATCGATCGTTAGCGTCGAACATGTTCAATCACGACTACTCCACAACGCGCTGGGTGCTGTCTTCCAAAAATCGACGAAGACTAAGCGACCCGAAACAGCACCAAAGGGTAAGTTAGCGATACAATCGTATTTTCCCTCTTATTTATTGTGTTTTTTTTTTTATTTCTTGGTTTAGACAAAGTACCTATTTATCAGCGTCTAGGCCTCAACGATGAATTGGGCATCAAGAAGACCAAAAGAAAGAGGAACTCCGGAGATCAGGTATTATGTTTTGCGTATGATATTTATCTGGTAAATATTTTGATTCCTATGACCCGTTTTCCCTTGCCGAAGACTCCGACTCAGTATTTAGCTGTCCTCGCTTTTCTTGCCATTGTTTTGACCACATTGATGCCCCGATTGATTAAGTCACTGTGTGTCCGCCTGGACACTTCTGTCGTACAATATTTTGCTTTCGGTCGAAATAGCCTGCGATCATTATAACACGAGATGCTCACGCTCTTACGCATGCATATTACTGAACCGACTAACCATGCTGTGATACTGCGCTTGTGATATTTACATTTTTATTTAACTTTATGATACTTGCCAAATACTGTTTTCATGCGCTGGCCTAACTTCACTTTTGCCTTGAATTGTTCGACAATGTGGTGTCCACGATTTCTGTGCATTTGTAAGTTGTGCGCCCAGCGCGCGCATTCATATGTGACGAGAACGCATCTCATGTTAACTCAAACCTCGGCACACGCCAGCGCAAAGCGCTGCCAACGATGGTTGGCGGGGCGTGTTGACTCGACTCTAGTTGATAAGCAAGTGTGTGATCTAATGTAGGACGCAGAGTTTTTCTTTCTTGAGTAGTAGTAATTTTATTCTAGTCTTAAGCGCTCATGTGCACGACTTTACGTGTACTAATTAATATTACTTGCGTTGCGGACACCGTGCACAATAAATGTAAATAATTATTATAATGCAAAAACTACGTAGCGAGAGCGCTCAGTGAGACTACGGTGAGAATTGTGTGATAGTACTACGTATTTTTGCAAATTCCTCGAATGTTATACATTCGAAACTGTGTATCACTTTTACGATGTGGAAAAGATTGCATTGAGCAACACACCAACCGAAAAAATCAAATCATGTATCAAAAGAGAGAAAAAAAACAATAGAACATAAAACACAATCGAAACAAATGTAACCAGAACAAAACAATATGTACAACTCACTAAAAATAAGAATATGTTTGATGGAGTTCAAGCCAATGACAACAATTTAACGAATGCGTATGTTTTATAAAAATTTAGGTTTAAAATCTCCGTCATCAACTGATCAGCTCCGTATCACGAAGTACGAAATAAAGAAGAATGGTCCATTGGAAACAAGCGAAGCAAGTCACAATTGAGTACAAATGCTCGCCCGATTGCCGATCCTGCGAGACACCACACATATACACACACGAGACAATGAATGGTACAAATGGTCTTCGTGCGCTTTGTGCATCCCGTTACGGAACTGGTTAGTCTTATCGAATTATGGTCCTGTTACAATTTACTTATATGTGATTTACTTTACTTTATATTTGTACATCATATTTCGGTTTCTTTTGATTTTGTTAGCTTTAGACATTTTCCTTTCAATATACCACGATTTGATATATATGAAGCTGTATAGTCCTTGAAGGCAGTTTGTTGCATTCAATGTTAATATTTATTAATTCGTAAGTACCAACAAGTTCAAGCTGAGAATAAAAAGTGTATATATTTTTGTATATATCGTTGAAAATAAACTAAAGAATTTACAGAATAGAAGAATCGCTTCGGCGTGGGGAATAAATAAAACATACCAACCATTTCCATCCGTTAATAGTTACATATATTACACAATATGTATGAGTAATGAAGGTTTATGATTCACTATATCTATTACTCGAGGCATAATTGCATCTCTTCATCCGTCGTCTGAATTTTTTTGTTTTGTTTTGTAAACATAGAAAAGTACAAAAGGACCCTGTACAAACGAACTTAATTATATATCGCCATATCGATAAATTTCGGGCCTTACAAGCTATAAGGTGTGGTTGTAGCGAATTTGAATCCAACGTAAGTAGGAATATAACAAGTGGTTTTTCTTTTCTCTATTACCGACTTAATAGTAAACAATCATTATGTTCTCTCTGAAATAGCGGTCGTACATGCTAACGCATTAAAACTACTTTCTTTCCATGTAATAAACTGTTGCAGGTGGTCATTTGCAGGACCAATAGTCTCAATGCGTTAGCATATATAAATACAATACAATAAAATTAGGTAGAAGTCATACAGACGCTCTTCTTGACATTTTCGAACACCGGTCGTCCACATGAATAATGATGATAACCGGACTAATTCAGCAGCTTGTGATGGTGTTTCTTCTTGTTCTTCTCAATGACGTAGAAAGACTGCGGTTTGCCGTTGCCCGGAAAGTATTTCAGAAAGGAGGACTTTTTGACGGTGGCGGGTACGTAGTATGATGGTTTCTTGTAGCCCATCTTCCCACCCTGACCGGACTTCAGATTCATGCCCATACCCATGTTACCGAGCACGTTATTTTCGTTATGCTGTTTATCGAGCACTTCGTTCCAATTGGCGTAGTATTTGATGTCGATCTGATTGGAATCGTCATTGAGACGACTCTTTGCTTGTACAATCTTCTTAATCACGGGATGTTCCAATGGTAGATCTTTCCGGGCTTTCCGTTCGACTTGAAACCGACGGGCAACTTCTTATCTGGTTCTGCCAGATGATTGGGGCGGTTATGCACGTAGTAGTGCTGGTTGGGCGGCAGTTTGATGACAAACATGTGCGAATCATCCGAGCGGCTATGGTGGCGTGATTCCACAGCTAGTCGCTTGCGATGGTGGCTGTTGGGGGCGCGCACCCGCGAGAAGCCGATCTTCTGCAGCAGGTCGTGATTCTTCGATGACGGCTTTGCGCACGCCAGCGATGCGAACAGCACGCAGACGGAGATGACTGATAGTATTAATGCCCTGCAATCAAATCAGAAATTATTCAACGTGTAATAATTATCGGGATGTCAACGTTTTGCGGCAATGAACTACAAGACCGAGTTAAACAAACGCGTGTGTGAAATTGATTCCCAACGCGAAGAATACAAAATAAGTACAAGAATGCGAGCTAGAGAGACACGTAATGGGAAAATTGCTCATGTATAAACACATGACGGCAGTCGCTCGCACGATAAATAAAATATGTACGCACATGCTGATCAAATTTAATATACGTGAGAATTACACTCGGCAGTGTTTAATTAATATTTGGCTCAAGCTATTACAACTTAAAGAATTGCTACAGAATAAAATATTATAATAAAAACGAGAATTTTTATTCAACTTATTAACTATTCACTTATTTTCACGAATTGTTTCTTGTTTCAAGAGTGCACGTATTTGCATTTCCGTGTGTTCGTGGTCAAAGAAACCGTACAATAATTGATTAAGTTTAATAGTCAATTTCATGGCGATTCCAAGACCACACAATTGATATTCGAAGCACGACCAACAAACACAGCATGAGATGAACATTTTCTCCGAGGAGAAAAAGTCAAATCGCGCTCGGATTCTAAATAGCTGGATGTAGATAGGAGAGAAGCGGACTCCGAAATCCATTTTAATCTCTAAATCATGTTAAAACGCTCGTATCACTGCGGCGATTCGTTGCGCTTCATTTTCTTGATTCGTCGTGGAAAGCGCACTCCTGGGATGTTGATTTAAAGCGATGTGCAAGAGATTGAGTGCAGGTACTTCAACCGGCCGAAGCACCGCCTGGTCGAAATAAGTAGAAGGAAAAACTTAATCGACGAATAAAATAAGGCGATAAAACAAGCTTCCTGAATGCTATGGAGGAATTTATTACTCTCTTGTCATGCACATACTTGAGCATATTTAGTTCGTCCAGCCAATTTTAGATACATCTATAAACGCCAGCCAGCAGCCGGTAATGAAGGATGCGGATGGTAAATGCCGGAGACGTATGAAAGGCGTGCGTATAAGGTCGTAATAAGCTCGGTTTTATTCCCGCTTTAAGTGTAAAACGCAAAATAAATTAATACAAAAATGTTGGCTATGGCGCAATGATTGAGAAACGCGCGCAAATTCCAATTAAACGGTGTCGGATAGATGGAAATGTGAAATTGGTGATGATAGAAAACAAATTCTTGCAACGCGGTGGAGATTAAATGAATATGATCGTATGCACGCACGTACGCTCCAGCAATAAATATTCGGATGAATCATGATGCGCGGCGCAGAGTGAAAAAAAGGTGAAGTAATAAATATCTCCAGGCACACCCTACAATTTCCCAATTTTTTCTCTCGCCGGTTAATTCGTCTTCAGCAGCATTCGAGCGTTCACACGATTTACGACTATTGCCTTTATCTTCGATATCGCCGGACAATTGGCTCATTAACATTACCGCGAGCAGCACTGCGCTCGCAATCGAGAGCAATCTCTCGCCGGAATTAAGTATGATAATTTTTCATGTGCCCTGGCCGAAATAGAGCCGCTTGATTCGACAGGAATGCGATAACTGTGACTCGCGAGCGCTGAGAAAACAAGATGCGAAGGATTCGCGCTCGGATGTGCACGTTATGCCTACATAACTAAACGCTGACAGTGGGTCATAAGTCACGCGAGTTATTCATACAGCGCGCCATAGTTTCGCGAGTCGCTGGTCATGCTCGTGCTGCGCGAAACAGACACGCCGCGACAAGGCATCCCGGCTGCTGGAGCAGAAAAATCCGTCTAGCGGCATTTTGAATCCGGCTCGTCGGCGGCCCAAACGCGCCTAAAAGACACTTTGTTTGAAATTCTTCGACCACACAGAATCTGCTTTTTGTTTCGGTAAGTTGTCTAGCTTCAAGAAACTTATCAAAATCGGGCCAGCTAATGTGAATTGTTGTGTTCTTTGCCCTAATCATAATTTTCCCTAATGACACCCAACATTTTGCAGTGCGCATTTGTACAGAATATCAAGAATGTTGCATATGGTAATGGCCGATAATGTGTGTAATTATAGATTGTGCCATTGCAGCGGAACTGTGCCCTCTTCATTAACCTAAATTTTGCACTGACAAAGCATTAACTATATTCTTAATAACATAAATTAATTTTCTTTATTGTAACAACTGATTTATTTGTAAACAAGCTATAGCTTGACAGTCTTAATTTTAATAAACGTGCTGAACTTATTTATACGTGGATAATAACAATAATCATGTTTTTGAGCAATGTGACATTGTTTCCCACGACATGAGATAATGTGACCATAATTACGCCTAAAAATGTCAAAACATATACTTCACTAATCACAAGCTAGATGTTTGGTTTAATTTCAATTACAATTAGGTAAATACATTCATGGCAGTTTGTCAGCTGATTGATATACAATAATTGATATACAAATATACAATATTGCATTTTTGAAACAAATGTAATTCTTCCAAAATATCTAAAAATTCACGTGCTGATAAAACTGTAATTATTTTCCCTACGGACGTCGCGAAAGGTGTAAACAATGCTCGCCTCCACTCATTTGCATGCCGCACATTTGAATTCAAATCCGAAGCCTGGTTTGCATTTCGCTTTAGTACACAATAATGAGTTTGGGCTGCGCGCGCGCGTTCGCCTAGGTTTCGGTTAAAGTGTTCCGAGAGATAATTCAAAGCGAATTTGAAATTTTAATTAAAATCTCATTAGGTATTCCCCTTCGGCATCGCTTTCTTTCCCGACTTCTTTTTGCTTTTGTTTTGCGTCTGCATCGTCGAGTGCGCGCGCCATTCTTTTCCACTCGGCTCGCCTGCACACCGAAGAACAAGTGGCCGAAAGAGTTCGTGCCAGACTGGACTGCATTCATACTCACACACACTCATACACAAACACAATCCTACACGCACACCACCAGCAGGACGCAATAAAGCCATCGGAGGAAATGCAGACATCCGACGCATCCGACGGCCGAAATGCAAACGTCGAAACACGCGCGCAAAAGCGCCAACAATTGCTCATTTTCAGCGCGAAATTCATGCGAGCAGTTTTAACGACGAAAGAGAGCTCATATACGCGCATATAACAGTTTATTACATTTCCTTTCGATGGGCCATGCATGCGTTTAAATAGAAGAAACGCCGCGCGCAGATTACACTTATTAAGCCGTTCAATTGGCATCACGGCTGCGGTAATGAAGTAATTTCAGCGTGCATTATTTTTCAGACGCCGCTTTAAATAATTTAATACATCAGCAGATATTGCGTTGCACTAGACTGTGCTGTAAAGAAACTAATATCAAAAGTCTTGTTTCTCCTTTGGCAACACCATGATTTTTCGTCTATCGAAACAAAACGTTTTGTCTTCCTGCTGCCGGAGATATCTCAATGTCGAAAATAACCAATTTATCTTAATATATCTGACGTGGTTCCCGTTGAAAACCCGGAGCGCTCGCTCCCATTCATCTGAAACTTGTGGCGCAATTCATATGGTACGGCCCGACAAGATTCATCATCATGCCGACCGATACTTAAGGCTATCAGTTGTTTATCAACCCAGCGATCATAAAGTCGAACGTAATTTACCGAACGCTCTAACGACGCCGGACGCCAGCCGGAGGAGGATCGCGCCGCCGATCTAATTGCGCCGCCTCGGAAGATGTTAAATGATTATCAAACTGTACGTTTCGGCCGCACAGGACATGATGCAGCGGCGGCAATGATGAAGAATTCGCCATCGGACGTTGTGTAATTTATTATATTGCGTAAGCGTCGGTCCGCGACCGGCCGCGTAATTTATTCACTGCATGCGCAAGTGTAATCTTGTAATTAATTAGCAATTAGTTGACTTATGAAATTCCCGCTGCATTGTTGTATCTATTGCTGCACGTTTTGGTGTACAACGGGGTTATTTCAAGTATGTGCCAGCGCTGATTACGCCGTTAGTCGACGATTTATGTTTACAAATTCTTCAAAAATCGTTGCTGTCTTATTTCACTCGCAGCGTTTTTTTTCTTCGTTATTGCTAAACGTTAGTTTACAATTATAAATGACCAGCGCCTCCACGAATGCAGCACTCCATATTTTTCGGCTCGAATTTCGTGTTTATTACGCTGGAAGAATGTTAACGTCCGTAATGGCAGGTTTAAAGCATTAATCAGCGGAATTCTTCGAATATTAAGATAATTTCGCGTGATTTATTACAGATAAAGTTGGTTTGTATCATTAAGAATGACGATTATCGAACATATTGAACTTAAATTTATTTTTAGTTCCGTAAATGTGCTGAAAATTGCGTCTGTCATGTTTTGCCGACTAGCAGAACTGAATAAATGCGTGTTGCCAATTTGTACAACGGCTTATTTAATCAATTAAATGTTAACTTCCTACAAATGCAATCAATTCTTGTTTTACTGGTTGTTCTTGCTGAAATTCCGCAGATTCTTCGACGCAATTTGTATCATACCTACGTACAATAACAAAGTGTCAACGAACAAATTGCCTCAGGCATATCGATTTACATGACATGTCAATGACCAGTTTAAAGTATTATGCAATCAATAAATGAAATCGCGCATCCTCTTCGCGTTGTTTGCGCCCGTCCGACATAACTCGCGCGTCTATCTTTAGTGCCTTTGATGTGGCATTCGTACTGCTGCCGCCAAAAGCGTAGTAAACATTTCAGCACGCGAAAGCTCCGCACCGCGCCGCGGCATGCAACGCAAGGGCACGGATACAGCCGCGACAGGTACTATAGATGAAGGCGCAAAAACTGAATTCTCCGGTGAAATTAGTCGATAATGCCGAGCTGCCACAAAGCATTGCAATAATAAAGAAGGAAAAATGTGCGCAGCAAGCGTGCACAATGCGCGATGAAAAGGCGAAAACGCATGAAAGAAGCGAACAATATGCAATTTTCCCAATGATTTATGTGCCATACACAATTTTGCGACACTTGGCGCGCGCCGGCCGGTGAATCAAAATTT